GGCAGACGTTTTGGCGCTCTGCCACCGAGCCGTTGGCACTCACGACAGGACAACCGTTGATTTCGACTATGTCCACCGTATGCTCCAAACAGGTTGGTGCAGGGACGGTGACGTGCACGTGAATTATGATAGAAGACTTGCGCTGCATCTATCACACTCTCTCCTCCCTCACCCACCTGAGCCCGGTGCCAAGAAGACCGGAGGCGGCATCCGGTACAGTGGCTGACGAACCCGTCTACGCGCGCTACAGCAGGACTTGGCCCTCTTGACACACATACATGCCAGAATTTAAATAACCAGGGGATTAGAAAGAGACGTCGCCATCTGACTCCCAGTCCACTTACCAAACAATAAACACAGAACAAACACTGGGCTGGTGGTGTTTCCGGTATATGTGCCAATCGGTGGATGGCAAAAGCAGGCGCTTCTGCAACATTATCCGCAAATAGCGGGGAAGGCGCAGGTAGACATTTTAACGCTCTGCCGCCGAGCCATTCGCACGCACTAACGGGGATGACTAAGATTACACAAGGTTACCTTGTAACGGCGCCGACCAGTATAACTTGCCCGACAAGAGCTCGGTGGCCTATTGTTCGAGAAAAAAACCAAAGGACTATCAGCGTAAATTTGACTTTGACCACAAGTTCAAACGCCTACTGCCGTTATCTTACGTGCCGCGTAGCATGACACAGGCACCGAGGCAGTCCCTCCGGTGACGCACAAAACACACCGTTGCATTATGGACTACCTATCATCCCGGTGGTACACAAAAAACACGGTTAAAATTAGAGAACACAATGCCTATTCTCCACTTGGACTACAAAGGGCAGTCCTTATTTTATCGAAGACAATAAACGCCAAAACACCGCTGACAAATCTTTGATTTACTTACGCTACATGGATGTAGCGTATATACGGCGGGAGAAACCCGACCTATGCACGCAGTTAGACCATCTAACCAATCCCCAATTGCCCTTGTAAACTCGGGCCTAAATCAAATAATAAAAAAACGAAAAGACTGTTGGTGCAATAGTTGGCTTTGACCACACGTTTAAACGCCTACCACCACCACCACCCCCACCAGTCTAGGTGGCGTGACTTGAAACAGGAACCCAGAAAGCCAACAGCAGGCACTTCAGTGACACAAAACACCGCGTTTCAATTTGCATTATGGACTTGTAGTATCTATCATCCCGGTGGCACAATAAAACACGGTAGAAAGTTAGGGAACACAAACAAGCAAAAGTAGAAAAAAAGGGAGATAAGGACCAGAAAGCGGGGGGACAGGGTAGGGAGATGGGGAAGAGGCATGATTTTAAGTAGTCATGACCACGTGACCACTACCAACCAAAGATGAGGAGGAAGACGACAACAATTAAGATGACAGTAGTAGTATTAGTAGTAGTAACAGTGGCGTCTTCAGATGTAGA